TGGACCATTACAGGTTTTCATAAGAGAAAAGAGCTGCTAAATGGTAACTAAGACAAGGACCATCCATGCACACCCTGGTTATTTATTTTCATTATCTGGCTGCTGCACAAGACATTGATTTTCAGAGGAGAGCTCACCAGCTCAACATTTTTTGAAGTGTGCAGGAACCCAGGAACTTTACCACTTTATTTTATTTTATTTCTCGCAAACAGGAAAAATACAAGGTTGTTGCAATCCTGCTTATCCTGCCCATCAGCAAAACCAACTTTTGCAGTTTGAAAAAAAATCAAAATGCATCTGTCACAGTGCATGACACAAGGTCACGGAATCCACTTGGTTAACTGGATCATGTGTTCCCAGAGTCTTAGGTACACATTATCACAATGAGGAAGGAGTGAGAATCAGCACAGTGAAAATACAGCATGCACCATCCTCTCCAGTAGTAACAGTTGGTCAGAGTACAGAAAACTGAATACATTTCACATTGTAGTCCTTGCAAGGAGATATATAAATTTTAGTAGGATCCCATTCTTGAGTTACTTCATTGCTCTGTTCAATTAAATGCTATTTAATGATTCAGCACTTACAAGGTATTATGTATCATTCATACTCCATTGATTTCAGTGAAGATTCTTCTGATTTTTTCGAGAAAAGATAAGTAGTTCTAAGGAAAAATATTAATTTTCTGTATAAGGCCTAAGTACAAAGAAGTTAAAAGTAGTGACTAACTATAGCAACCACTATATCATTTTTGTAATTCCCACATGGGGAGATTCAGGTTATCGCATCAAAATTGTTTACCATTGTTAGTGGTTTAACTGCCAAGCAGCCCAAGGATGAAGACTACTTCATGTTATGACTGTATTTCCATCAAAACTGCAGCAACCTGGTTGTTACACTTTATTGAAGCATTTTACTTTCAACTGTATCCATCATAAATTAGTGCCACAGAATAAAAGATAAAGATTCTGGATAATCAGATTAGATGGTGTGGGGGAATTGCTGACACAGTCATACTTGTTCATGTGTTGTAGCAGGTTATTCCAATACTCATTCACCGTCATGTGTCATCCTTTAACATGCCTTAACTCTACTCATTCGCAGTGTAAGAAATTAGTTTAGACAGCTCCTTGTCCCAGGTACTGACTTGCAGCTCAGAACACTTATTTCCAAAGATGACTCTCAGGTTCAAAGGTTGCTCTCAGGCAATGATTTTACTCTGCAGCTGGGACAACATGCACGAGGTCAGTTGGCACAACTCAGCTTTCAGCTGCTACCTGTTGCAGTAAGTGACCATGTTTGCTATCAGATATTTGGCTTCAAAAATTTTTCCATCAGAAAAGTAAACCATTCAGCCCTGAAGGGCAGTTAAACCACCTAGGTCAAAAAATGATAGTAAGCTGTACATACTTATATCCCCATGCTATCTAATGCTAACAATACATCATTTAGTTTTTTCATTGAATAAAAGCTGTTTCTTTCAAGATATACGATCTCTCTTGCTCACATAAACATTACCAAGAGCCACTCTGCTTTCCACTGACGTGAAATTGTTGATACAATTAGTAGCTTTCCAGTTTGTAGGAACATTGAGGTAACTTTTATCTAGTTCTGTGTTGGAAATTTAAATAAACCCCCCCGCATCACCATTGTTGAGACACCAGGGACCATGCAGACACGTGCACCAACACAGACCAGGGGCACTGCCCTCCTGTGTGAGCTGTGCAATGTTCTCCCACTCACCACTGTGCTCCCTTACGAGGAACCAGGGAGCACAGGCAAGGAGACAGTGAGGTCTTCACTCTCTTGAGAGAAAGAAATAGTTTCTGTGTTACTGAAAGAAATTCCCCAGAGAGCCGAGGAACCTAAATGCAGAAAGCCTGACAAAATTTACTGTAACCAAGAATCTAAAGCACAGACATATTAAAAGACCTTGCACAATGTCTCTCCAGCAGATCGCATCAGAGATGGAAATGGAATTGATAAGTATCAGACACAAGACTTTTTTTTATTTTTTTCTTTGAGATACTAGAAAGCATAAATCATTTCCTTATCACCAGAAATTTCATAAAACCTGACCGCTCTGATCACAATACTTAAATCCACATTTTTGAGGATATAGTGTCCCTTGAACACGTACTTGGCTTTCATTTAATTCAAGAGGAGCTGCACATGAATACATCAGAACTGTACATTAATTGCTACATTTGCAACAATTTAAAACAGATATGCCACGTTAATATGCCTGCCTTCATCTCTGCTATTCATACAAAGAAGCAGACAGTGCAAACCAACATCAGCAGCAATATTAAAGCGTCAGGTGTTCAAATTTTGTAATGCACAATATTGAATATTGTATGGAACATAAACCTGAGAATACCCAGGTGGAGAAGGGGGTGTGAGACCATGAGAGAAGTTAACACAAAAGTCAGCATGGTACATAAACTGAACACATAACTCTTGTTCTCAAAGTACTGTGTGTGAGGACTAAGGATCTAGTAGGAAGCAGATTTCAACAGGTAATGAAAAACCAATGCATACAGCCTCTACTAAGCTCTGGAATGGGCTGCCATGGGAGCTTGTGGGGGAAGACAGGTTCATAAAAGCATACACAAATTCATGGAAAACAGATCCCTAACAGGACAGTAAAAGTACTGGGTAGGTATGTACACTTGAATGATCCTTTATCGTCTAGCAAAAAAAAGCGGAATGACTACCCTTCTCTGCTTTCCTTGGCAAATGTACACTAAACTAGATGTGTAGTTAGTGTACATTTCATCTGTCCCCTGGGGCACCCCTATAGACAGATGTTCCTACCTATGTAAGATTTCAGCTTTGCCTATTGTGGTAGGAGTTCAACTTTCCTTGGCAATCCAGGTTTACATGGTTTTCAAGCAAAATTTCTGGAAGATGATGATAGAAATGGAATTCCTAAGGGAACTGAGTCCACAAATACAACGAAAACATTAGAAAGAGGGTTCCCTGAATCATGTACAAACAAAGCTAAACTCTGCAGCATCTACACATTGTTATTTTTTGTAAATGGAAAACACTCTTTGCACTAATTGCCATTATTTTTCTACAGTACAGAAGTAAACTCATCAAAGAGGCTTTGCATGAGTGGCTCTAATTTGATGAGTATATTGTCACCAGTACTATGATATAGAGGGTGGGGATTTGTACTTTGCACACGTGTACAGTAACGATTCCATACATGCTCACACTTCCTAAAGTAAATCTTCATATAGAGGAAGATTTAGGAAGCACAAACATTTATTTCACTTTTGAATACAATTCTGCAGTTTTATTTTTCTACCCCACAGAAAACAACTTGAAGCTGCATTTTAGGCTGCTTTCATCATATTTTCAGGCTTGAGACAAAAGATTCCATTAACTTCTATACCATCAGGATCTGTTCCAATATTAACTAAGAATATTTGAAAGTTACTCATATGAGAGGACTACTCTGAGCCAAGACTTCAGGGACTGGCTTTAGTTCAAGCCTTAAAGAGACGTCTTAAGAAAAAAGAAGAAACCAAAAGACTTGAAATAAAGTTAAAATAATTCAGCTTTGCCTCCTGGGTAACACTTTTTTGCTTCTTATGGAAAGGTTCACTGTAAGAATCCTATATATCTATATTCCTTATCCAGTTTCTTTTATGTATATGCTTGTCCTTCAGCTTGTATGCCTCAAGACTGCTGCTCACAATTTAAGTTAGCAGGAAAGCTGGGATATATGCAGAGCCTTTAAAGTAACCATTTCCCAGTTGTGCTTGTCCACTAAGTCTGTGAAAACACCTGCATCAATTCCACTAGCACTTTTCAAGCTTCATATAAAATGAAGTGAAAAATAAAACTTCTGGAGATCACAAAACCAGTTCTCTAGAGAAAACAGTGCTCTAGGTATGACACAAGCCCAAAAGCAGAAGAAAAAAATCCCTCAACCTGCTGGCTATCCTCTAGTTAATGCAGCCAGCCATGCAGTTAATACTCATCACCATATTGGTTTCTTGACAATTTATACTTAACTGGTCAGTAAAATCCCCATATTGCCACTTAACATGGATAGGCTATCAGACTCTTGTTTTTAAAACCTAAAAGAAATTCAGTAAAACTTAATATAGAGAAACAATAAAATAAAAGTATTTTTTAAATTACTAAAATAGGAATTTGCAAGCTTTTTATTATAGTGTTTTCAGTCATATTTAATGGTTTATCCAAGCTGTTTTTATACATAGGATGCAACAGACCAATAAGTGTTAAGGATGAATCTCAGCTTCCTCAAGGAAGTTATCTGTGCTCTCTGAAGATCACCAGCTGAGACATGAAGTGGTGACCTGTTAAGCCTATCATTTCATTAGGCTACGAATACATCAAAGAGCAGCAACTCAGCCAACAGAACTTAATATTTTCCTTTCCAAAATTGTAAGAAGCAATTATTCACCCCTGCTTTAGCTTTTTCCTAACCAAGTTAACTTATTTCACTGAATTATGGATCTTTGTTCCTTTTCTTTGACTTGAGATGAAAATGTTTCTTATTACTATAAGATTGATTCATTATGGAGATGAAATGTTTCTTATTAAACCTAGTTAAATTTAATATTGTAATCAACACAAAATTCTTTAAAAATAATAAGAAATTCTAATTTAAAATTTACTTTTCTTTACATGAAAATAGGCATTAACTCTACCCTGAAATCTTATATGGAATATTATTTCTCATTTGTCATGATATGGCCACATAATGTTTACGTTATGTTTCATTAAATACCAATGAAATACTAAAACATTATTATGAAGTTTTTAAGCTCTATAGCAGTGGACAAGAGAAAAATTAAATTTTCATATTATTTCAAATGTAATGGGTAAAAATAACAGGAGCCCAATCCAAAACCCACTGATGGAGGTCATGGGAGTCCTCCCATTAACTTTCATGTTCTTTGGTTCTTCAGGTACCAAGACAAATATGAGAAGCGAAAGGAAGAGAAATTAAAACTTACCCATGAATTCAATTCCTAAATGGTCTGCTGTACCCACGAAAGCATGTAAAAGAAAAAAGAGAAAAGAGACGGAAATGTTAGAAACAGACTAAAATGCAAATATAACCTTTATCATCAGTGGTATCATTCAGTATTTCTGTGGCAGTGCTGCAAGACGCAATGTGGGGTCAGGGGCCCGCTGGCTGGGTACTGGTCCAAATGAAAGGCACAGCCCTGCCCTTTGAAGGGCAATCCTAAGGCAAGAATTCAGGGCACTCAACTGTCACAAGAAGGGAAGTGTATTTGGGGAAGGAGAGGAACGCCTTTACTTTATATTCAACTAAGTGCCTCAAGCCAGTCACCTAAAGGGATTTCATTTTCTCATCCTCCTGAAACTCCTCTCTCAACATGCTAACTACTGCCGTTAGTTAGACAAGGTTCTTGCTTTCATTTTCTCTGACAGAGATCAAAACCTAAAGAGATGAATGGAAGGCTTTTACTGAGTTTTGCAGCTCTCATCATAGCACAGCAGCCACACTTGCACCCAACGTGACTGCAGATCTGCTAACTGCTGTACAACAGAAAATCTGACTTCAGGAAAGAGCAGCCAGGTTCCCTACTTAGCCATCGGACAGGTATGATGCAATTATTTCAAGACATCTAGAACTGAAGCAAAAATGTAAACACTTTTGGAATATTGACTGAATTACCACATGGACGTCTAAATATCTCAGGACCCTTTTTTCACATGAGGAATTAGGATATATGTCTTTAATGGACAGATGTTTTAGAGCAAAGGTGATTTAAATTTACATAAAACAGTCACTCAATTTTAAGTCATTGGGAAGTATGTATAAGTCGATATGCAATTAAATAATAACAAACTCTCCATCCTGCAGGGGCAGGACTGCAGAAAAGGTGTTAACTGACTTCTCAGAACTGAGTGTAAAAGGAGGAGTAGCTTCAAGTCCAGACTGTGGAAGGTCAGAAACTCAGAAAGGCACCAAAATGCAGTTCTCTCCCACACTAGACTTGAAATACTTTGCTTTTCCTTGAAAGGTAACAATTGGCTTTATAAAGAACAAAGAAGGTTTGTTTTGCTTTGTTTTGTTTGAGGTTTTTCCCCCTGATGAAAATGCAGTATTTCTCTTCAAAATATAATAAAAGATAAATATTTTAACTATTCTTTTCCTTAATACAGCACAGATTAATATATGATTTTGCCAAAGTTTCCAAGCGCAATGTGTGTGGAGAGGAAAGCAGTAGGAAAAGAGCAGAGTGGGTACAACAAAGACTGATATGTTGGCTCGTGCTTGGAGCTGAGAGGTACTATTGGGAGATTTGTGAAACACTTGGTCCCATTCACTAATGTACTGCAACTTTCAAAAGTCCACTTAAGAACTAAGAACTACACAGCAAATAAAAAGATTTTCTAAAATAAACAAACAGTTAAACATTTTACTTTATTGCCAGCTCTGGTACCTGTGATGAGACTGTGGAATATTTGTGTTTCTGTTGAAAATGCTGGAAGTGTTCACCTTTTATAACATTTCAATCCTTCAAGGAGAAGGCATCAATCATCAGCTCAGTTCATTTAGCATACAAACCTATATAACAGTTGCTAAACCCCATATTTATTTTCATGCAGAAGACACAATAGGCATCTCAAAAGAAAACAACATAAAATGATGCTATATAGCAGAAATACCTCATTAGCATGGTGTTAGGGAAGGCATATTATGCAAATTTGGTGACACCCACACGAATCTTTCCATTTGGTATTAAATATGGAATTAAAAATCACAGATATATGTATCCCACATTGCAATCTTCTAATCTGTGTTCTTGCATTCATGTGCAAATGTCATGTACAAACATCTCTAGTACGTATGACACAGAAATGTAATTTTTATAAGAACATGAGATCAGATATATCAAAAGTGCATTAAACATACTGTATTCAGAGAGATTCGTAGCTTGTTTTTTTCCCCTCTAATTTTCTGTACCTTTGAAATCTGCAAATATTGTCTACGTGCAATTCACATCTTTGCATCCTTCTGTAAATTAGATCAAAATGCAGTTGAAAACTGCTTACCTTAAAAAATGATAACAGAGATCAAAGCACCATAATCTGGTCTCCAAGGAACTAAGGATATTGACACATGAAGTGAGATCATGCAATATCATCTTTTTAAGTCTATTCAGAACAGCTGAAAAAACAATCCTCCTTTCCTAACTGGGGTATACATGTTCTCTACATGTTTTCCATTTGCAGCCTGCAATCTCTGCTTTGAGTTCACCAACATGGTTAAAACCACTTCCTCAAAGAGTGTGTACAAAATATTCCTTTAAAAAGATGAAAAAAAGCGTTTCAGTTCACAGTTGAGTGGCTCATACATAACTGAGAGTTAAGGGTATATGCAGCCTTCCTGGGAAATGTGCTCAACTGAAGAGGATGGGAACATGTCAGGTTATTTATTTTATATATCTCATGTGCTTGGAAAACAACTTCAGCAACCAGCATAATATATATTGCTGGCAAAGCTGATTTACCCAGATTACGATGAAAGGATGTCCAATGGGATAAATCTTTACAATAAAATATCCAGGCTGCCAATCATTAAGCATAGTTCAACAAGCTCTGTGAGCAGCTATTTGGGAATAGAAAACAATGAAATTGTAACTCTTGCAGATGTAGCACAGGCTGGCACTGGTTATGATCATCATCAGGCCACCCCTTGGTGAGCAGGACCCAGTCCAGAGATCACTCTCACTTGCACCTCTGTGGTGCAAATAAATGATTCTGCAAGCTCCAGTTTTGCAGATGGGTTTCCCCCTCTTAACAACAGCAAGAAACTCTGTCAGCAGGTCCATGTGAGACACAGGCACGGCACCTGGAATTAGACAGCAAGGGCAACGGGGGGAAGTGAGCTGTGGTGGTGACCTGAGGCTGAACCAAACACTAAAATGTGAAGTATCGACCCTGGCATGCCGTTGTGTGACAAAGAACTGTTATACTGCTATATATATACAGCCATAATACAAAAATGACAAATTGCCTGCAGAGCACTTCCCTGGACACAGCAAGTGGAATGCTAAGTAATTCACCATCAAGAAATGCCAGTTTCTTTAAGGACTCAGTTAAAATAAATGTATATGAGAGCTATTAATGTGCTGAAGCGTGGGCGCTGCTCCACAAGACGGGGTCATTAACCAAATAATGCAACAGTATTTTATTTTTGTTATTGTGATTTCTTCTTTCTGTTTGGTATTGCTATGTTCTTAGAAACTAATATATTTTTCAGATAGGAAGATCACTCACTTTTATATTTTATTATATGAATATTTCTGTATTTTCTTGTTGATGTGGGACAAATACTGTGCCTTACAGTCCTTGCATTATGCAAATTTGTTGCTAGTTGCTTGTATTAAAGCTCTTTCAATTTATACTTTATAAATACATAAACACCTGGGAATACTCGATAACAAGGATGAGAAGATTAATTTGCAGTCACTAATTGATTAATTTATTAATGCTTCACAAAAAAACATACAGCCTTGTGTATGGATTGTGGTTTGCTGGAGCTTTTTTCTTAGTCATATTAACACTATCAATAGAAATATAAACTCAACATGTAAATCTAACTGATTTATAGATCAAAAATCTTGGACATGAAAGTCCTCATTGTAAACCATTGCAGACATTTTAATCTGTTCTAAGGACAAGTTGACTTTGGCATCAAAACAGCTTTAGGAAATCAGTGCAACAGCAAAGTATTTTCCTCTGCAAATGAAATTTATCGCTTCCAATAAACTCGGAAGATTTGTTAAATTGTCCTTGGTAGATTATTGTCTTGAACACAAAATGCAACATGGTAATATGCTGCAAGCTACCCTGGGACAGCTCAAGTACTCTGAACAGATTATCTGTCTGGAAGGAACAGGACAGAGTTTAACTCCTAAGTATTAGACCAATAAAACTTCGTCAGAAATAAAGAAAAAACCTCCAATTCCAAAGACAGCTAGATTAGGATACTACCTAAAGATACCAATTGCTGCTCTCTTATTCGTTATGTTTTATTGTTTGACAGTATGCACTTGTCAGCCTATTTGTATATTAATGAAGTTAAAACCATAAATGGTTACAAAAAAAAATATATATATATATGAAAATATAGATTTTTTTGAATCCTCAAGTCTGTTATTTTTTGGTACTTCACTTTGCATGTGATCACATAGAGTAATGGGACAAGGGATTTCTCTATTTAGTAGGAATTGCTCCCATTTTCTCTCTACATTGTAAAAGTGACTACTAATGTTCTCAGAGCTTGGTTTATTTTTTAGTATCAAAAAGAAAAAGCAACAGCGTGTATTAATGTATTTTAAAAATCTCAGTTATTAAAGAACACAAAATTTGATTTTTTGCTGTTTGTTTTAGAGAAATTCTAGTAATTTGTTTCTGTCATTAATTTACACAAAAGTACTCTTCAAAACATTTGGAGGTTGGAAAACTGATTGCGGCTGTTCAGGAGGATAAGAAACATAAAAGCGAGATAGTTCAACTACTGATTTTTCAAAGTATCTTCTCTGAAAGACATAACAGAAAATTCCCTCTGTCAGACCTTTAAAATTGGACCAAACTAAATCCTGAGAATGACCTCAAATCAGCTAGTACCTAGAGCCTCCTTTTACCCTCTCTGACAAAAAGGACTACTAAAATTTTTCCAGATAAAAATTTTTCTGGAATAGGTAATATGGTTCACTACACCTTAACTGGTATAATAGTAAGCATACAGAATAGATTGTTAATTTGCCCCACATATGGCAAAACACAGTAATGAAAATCATACATACAAGATACTTGGTCTGGCTTTGACAAAATTATAAATCACAGTTAAAGAAATGATAACAAGGAAAGAAAGATTACTGTAAATCTATGAAATACTTTACAGTCTGCTATATTCTCAGTGTAAACAATGAGAAAAGATTTGCATTCTGTAAATAACGGTATAGATACAATTAATTTTATTTTAAACCAAATTAAAGTC